CGCGGGCCTCTTTAGGACCCAGGACTGAACACCTGCAGCATCCCCTGCGCCGGAGCCCGAGCCGCAGACCAGAAGCCCCACAATGTGAGTGTTTCATCCGCGCTCGCGGTGGACGCCCGGGCCCCCCGCACACTGCGCCCCGGGCGCCAGGCGCACGCCCGGGAACCTTCCCTCGGTCGGCGCGTCTCTCCTCTTGCCGCCAGCTTTTCATCTCCGTTTGATTCGCCGGCTTGAAACTATTTACTATTTGTCTCAAAACACTTTCTTCTCGCCTCTTGGAACAAGNAGGCGCGCGCGCAGGTTGGTCTGGAGAGTTGGGGGTCAGCGTCCCGAGGACCTATTACTGATCTCCTGGGTTTCGTCGTGGTTTTTCCGGTAAAACGAGGGCTGCCCAGATTAGTGACAGATTTCCCTCGCTATCTCAGAGGGAGTTAACAGGATCTGGACCTCGAGGGGGCGGCCTCCCTCCGGCCTTTCCCACTCCTGAACCCCAAGGCTGGGATCGCGCACCCACGCGGTCCAGGAGGCGTGTGGCTCCCTCTGCGAAGTCGCCGTCCTAGGAGCAATACTGAGAAAGAGGTGATAGATTAAAAACAAACAAACAAACAAAAAGTCCCTGGCTGTGCTCAGTGGTTCGAGTGTGAGCCCATCCACCGAAGGGTCACGGGTTCGAATCCCGGTCAAGGAGACGCACCTGGGTTACAGGTTCTCTCCCCAGCCCCATACAAGGTGTGTGCGGGAGGCAACCAATCTATGTGTCTCTCCCATCTATGTTTCACTTTCTCCTTCTCTCTCCCTCCCTCCCACGCTCTAAAAAAACCAATGGAAAAAATATCCTTGGGTGAGAGTTTAAAAAAAAAAAAGCCCTGGAATTTTATGGGAAGCACAGGTCAAGCCTACCAGAGAGTCCATGGAGAACCAACAGAGAAAGGAGAAAAAAAAATCCAGAAAACAATGGAAAGCCCAGACCCTGGAGGCCTGGAAATCCAGAGAGAGGCGCTCAGCTCTTCCCTTATGGGCAGTGGGTGAGATTGGGGGGCTCTTATTAGAGAGAGGTGTGTAGCGTGGCTTGAGAAAGGTGCAGATGAGAATACGTCCTGGCATCCTGGGGAGGAAACCAGATTGCTTTCCTCTAGATAGGAACCTAAACGAAAGGCAGTGACGTGAAGGACGATGGACGTCGAGGCAGCTGACTTCATATGGAACCGAAGGGGGGGGGGCCCAAATCAGCAGGGGGCTTGGGTACCTGTCTTAGGTGAGATCTTTTTTTCCAGAGCAAGGCCTGGCAGAAGGACTTGGGTGCACTTAGTTGATCTGGGAAGGGAGCCCAGAACCAGGGTGAGGACATGGGGAGGAGACAAGGAAGGGAAGGAAGTGAAGGAAGGGCATGTCTCTCAGCTGTTTTCCACCGTGGGCCCCTGGAGCTCGGTTCCTCCGGGGACCTCTGAGGACTCTAGGACGCATCTCAGGCAGCCACTGAAGTCAGAAAGGGGGG